GGGGGGAGAAGAAAGAAATTGGAGAGAGGGAGGGAGAGAAGAAGGAAATTGGAGGGAGGGGTGGGAGAGAGACTGACATCCATCACACACACAATGCACCCCTTGCACACAGAAAAACACACAATGCATTACACACAGACACACATACACACACAAGCAATGCATCCCTTACACACAGCAACACACAATGCACCCCTTACACACACTCAATGCATCCCTTACAGACGCACACACTGCATCCCATACATACACAAACTCACCTTGCAGCCCTTACAGCCCTTACACATACAAACACAGATTCACACAATGCATTCCTTACACACATCAGGACATCCCACACACACACACTCCACTCCCTGTGAACAAACTCATTGGTGGAACATGAGGGTGGACCCTGGGACCCAGACCTTGAGCTGTGTAAAGGGCCCTCAAAAAAATGGAGCTGCTTCCTGTTCTCCCAGAACAGTGATTTTTGTGACCACAGTTACAAACCGCCTCCAGAGAGCCTGTTGTACACCAGACCAGTGGAGCCAGACGGCAGCTAGAGCCCATCATCATCCTCATCTGGTTGTAAGTAGGCAATCTAGTATATTATTCATGGCACCAATCTCTAATTTACCTCACATTAAAGGGACACTATAGTCCCCAGAACCACTGCAGCTTAATGTAGTGGTTCTGGTGTCTAGCCTGTCCCTGCAGGCCTTTTAATGCAAACACCGCAGCACTGGTGTTAGTTAACATGGCAGATCATATGGGTGGGGCATTGTGATGTCACATGGGGGGGCAGCAGCAACTTTACTTCTTGCCTTACGCAAAATCCTTGCACCGCCTCTGCGACACCGCATCCCTGTGGGCGATTCAAAGAGGGCAGCACTTTGGTCTGACTCGGGTGCAGGCACCGGGGGGCCCAGACCTTGAGCTGTGTCAGGGGCCCCAAAATTTCTGATGGCAGCCCTGTTCAGGACTTACCAGGAAAGGTTAAAGGATCTTAACATGTATAGCTTGGAGGAAAGACGAGACAGGGGGGATATGATAGAAACATTTAAATATATAAAAGGGAATCAACACAGTAAAGGAGGAGACTATATTTAAAAGAAGAAAAACTACCACAACAAGAGGACATTAAATTAGAGGGACAAAGGTTTAAAAATAATATCAGGAAGTATTACTTTACTGAGAGGGTAGTGGATGCATGGAATAGCCTTCCAGCTGAAGTGGTAGAGGTTAACACAGTAAAGGAGTTTAAACATGCGTGGGATAGGCATAAGGCTATCCTAACTATAAGATAAGGCTAGGGACTAATGAAAGTATTTAGAAAATTGGGCAGACTAGATGGGCCGAATGGTCCTTATCTGCCGTCACATTCTATGTTTCTATTGGAACCATAACCACTTAATGGCTGTAGAGTGTAGATGTAGTGCCCAAGAAGAACTGTAGTATGGGGCGTGCAGATATAGCTTCCAGGAAGAGCTGTGCTGTACAGGAAGTGAAGTGTAGATACACCTTCCAAGTAGCTCTATGTTTCTATGGGGAGTAAAGTGCAGTTATATCTTTCAATTAGAACTCTGCTTGCTTGTACATTCCAATCAGGACGGCGTTTGCATTTTGGGAAAATAAAAACACCTCAAAAACTATGTGTATATATATATATATCTATATAGATATATATCTATATATATATATCTATATAGATATATATCTACAATACACAAGATCCAGCGCACTCACCTATCCACTAAACAGCAACTTCAATGTTGAAAGATTTTATTTGTTTTTTTAAAAACACCTAATCTAGGCAAAAATAATAGGGGTTTAGTTACATTATATGATCATACATTGCATAAGCCTGCCACAACGTCAATGTACCCCATCTTTGGCAGGTCCTACACTAACAGCCTAATGTCTGCTCTTATGAGATTAACCTACTTGGGGAAAGAAATTCCATCTAGGGCTC